AACCAGTATGTGTGTGGTTTAGACAAGTTGGTGTAACGTAGAGTCAACCAATATGTGTGTGGTTTATACAAGTTGGTGTAACGTAGAGTCAACCAGTATGTGTGTGGTTTAGACAAGTTGGTGTAACGTAGAGTCAACCAGTATGTCTGTGGTTTATACAAGTTGGTGTAACGTAGAGTCAACCAGTATGTCTGTGGTTTATACAAGTTGGTGTAACGTAGAGTCAACCAGTGTGTGAGGTTTACAACTCATGGTTTATATTATATAATGGTAACTAATAGAAATGTTTTATTTATTCCATATCTAATCTCACAGACAAATTACAGCTTTTCTTGGTATTTGTCATGTTTGTTGCACACCGTGACAGGTTGTATTGTTATTAATTTAATGCAAAGTTACACAATGGGCTACCTGCACTATGTCCACCGCACGAATCAAAACCCTGATTTTAGAGATACAAATCCGTATTTACCACTGACCCACCAATGGAAGAGTTATCTATCGTTTTTGAAGAATGTAGTATTTGCTGGTATACTTCAAATATTGTAGGAAATAACTGTGTGTTGGTTTTGTTTTTTGAATTTCGCGCAAAGCTACACGAGGGCTATCTGCACTAGCCATCCTTAATTTAGCAGTGTAAGACCAGAGGGAAGGCAACTAGTCATCACCACCCACCGCCAACACTTGGGGTACTCTTTTACCAACAATTAGTGGGATTGACCGTCACATTATAACGCCCCCACGGCTGAAAGGGCGAGCATGTTTGGTGGGACGGGGATTCGAACCCTCTACCCACAGATTGCGAATCTAGTGCCATAACCACCTGGCCATACCGAGTCAATAACTGTGTGCTAGGCTTTCCTAATTTTGAACTGATAGACTACAGATAGTCAACAGCATACATCACCTAATCTTTGGCTATCTAATCGAAGAGTGGAATTTCACAGTTTTTTTTTACTACTGTTACATAGGATCAGTCACACTTTGAGTGATCTGTGTATGCTGATGCAGTAGCTGTTCGTCGCAGGTGAAGGACGAGGCGCTAAGTATGACATTTTTATCAAATACATGAAGTTCAATACCAACAAAGTTAGAGGATTATGACATAGCCTTTACCAAAGAGAAATACTCTTATAGAAAATAATTAAACGATTTAGTACAGATAACATTTAGAAAAATAGACCCTTCAATGTTCTCAATGGAAAAACTCGCACAGTTAGGGATAGCAATGATATATTCGGAGCAACGTTCTCCTTCACAGAAATGCAGACTATGATTACGAAAGAGAATCTTCTGACCCTAAAAGGTTTTTGTGAAAAAGCTGGACATATCATCTTTAAACAAGATACTGTTATTGTTTTGCAAGATGAAAGTTTATGGCCAAATTTCTAAATCAGTGACTGTTTTCGTGATAAAGATGGCAAAAAACAAAACAACAAGAACAAAAAAGAAAAAAAGAAGAAAAACTGGATTTGCAACAATTCCACTCGATTACATACCTTTTAAGACACTCAGTCTGGTTACAACAGTGTTTTGTCCTTAAACGTACTCTTGGAAGCTGTCTTCCGCTTACAGAGAAAATTTCCTGTTAAGCACAAAGCTGTACAGGGATTGAACCCCGAATTTTAGCGTGAAAAGCCCCTCAAGCTAATCGTTGAGCCACCACCAGAGGCTACAATGGATGGTCTGTGGAAAGTTTGTGAAGATGTGTGGTCAAAGATTGACCCTGTCATCCTTCGCAGAAGCTTGGTGTAGTAGAAAGTGCGTAACCATAGTTTCAAGAGAAACGTCGTTCTTACAAATGGAGGTTAGCCCTCGCTATATGAAGATGAGCGGTATTGATCGTGTATTACTTGTTCTACTTGGGTAGAGGCTAAAATAATCAACGCGATTTTTGTTTTGTGAATTTTTCTAAGATCGGTAATAATTCTGAAGTGTAGTATGCTAATCGATGAGACGTCTTGTATGCTGTCTTCTAAAATTGGTGTTTCTGGCTCCAAAATATTACTTTGACAACTATGTTTTTATAAGTTATTATTATTGACTTTGTTTAACGAAGAATTAAGTTTATTATAAAACATTTATATAAACGTAAATAAAATCACGACCTATATCTCCAGAATGTAATTTTAGTT